GTTCCAGTCCTTTCTTCCTATAACAGATTAAAGTAGCCCTGACAGGCCTTGGGGCCTAAAAGCCTGATCAAAGACCCTGAGGTCGGCACCAGGGTAAGGTCACTGCATTCTGCTGATAATAAATTTTCCTTTTTTTGAATAGAGACTTAGTCTGAATAGAAAATAAATACTAAACAGTAGCTAGCTAAATAAAGAAGTGTGTCTCACAAGGTGAGACTAAAATCTTTGCTTTTTACCAAAGGGTGCAGCTGCAAATCAACTAAATAAGTGGTTTTAAGGCAAATAGCAAGATAAATTTACAGCTAAAATGCCTACTGTCCCCAGAGGATGAGTTCTAATCACTTGGCTTATTCCCTCATTTTTCTAAAGGTGTTGCAGGATAAGTTTGAAATTGTCTCTAACATATGTCCTCTATGGAACGATGAGGATGACAATGTTGGTTTTGAATAAGTATTTCTGTTGTACTGAGTGAAATGTGAAATCATCAGTGAAATCATCAAAGACACAACATTTTGGGAAAGAGGCACATGAAAAACAAACAAACTAATGAGGCAGAACATCCCTAATCAGTTAAATTAATACATAGAATGAGTAAGAATGCCTTCTCTGAACCTGTGGTCAGGATAGGAATCTGATCATTGATAAATACAAAACAAAGTTAACAAAATTCTGTGTCAGCCAAATCTGTGTTAAGCCTTGCTGATCAAAGCACATTACAGATTTGATTTGTATGTTACGTGAGTGTCAGCACTACTTTGTGGTCTTACTGCAAAGACATGATCCGCATATGCAATGACACCTATCCCGCTGCGGCGGCTGTTCATGGGACTGATTATTGTCCACTGGTTGCTCTCTGGGTTGTAATATTCAGCTGTCTGCAGACACTCGTTGCCATTGAATCCACCACAAATGTAAATCTGAAAACAAAAAAGGGGCATTGAATATCTTTACATTTCTTAGATTTCAGTTGGAAACAATGTTACCTGTAAGTGAAATGTTTCCACATCATTTGTGAAGTAAGACCGATACTCAGTACCCAAGTGTCCAACTGAAAAATACAGCAATTAACAAATGTGTGTGTTTTACAATTACCTGTCATAAAAACATGTTTATGTACCCAGATTTTACCTGAGTACGTGGGACTTCTTTGAGTCACAACATTCAATCAATAAGGCTAATTTTTCTGTTCAGGAATGCAGATAAATAATTGTAATCTGGGATCTTGATGTAATAAAATAATGATGTGATTTACTATTTTTTTAATATCTGTTATATTTTAGTTGACAAGTCAACTCAACTAAAGTACTGTACATAAATGCAAAGACACCCTTGTGATGAGTTAGAAACAAAATAGATATATATTAGTATATTTTTCAACTTTTTAAACTATACTTTAAAATTTGAAAACATGAACATAGAAACCAGTTTGTGACCTATCTTGCACCTCGCTTCACTGTAAAAATGTGTATTCCCTGACTGGTTGGCAAGTGGTTGCTGGAGGTTGATGGCTGTCACTACTGTGAAATTGTAACCAAGAAGGTGTTGCACCACAAGCCTCCTTGTGTTTCCTTTGGTCGTTAGCAGACTGTTGAGGTTTGCATGGAGTACTCTGACTTGTCTGCAAATACTCACAAACTATTTGTTGTAGAAATCTGTAGAGTCTTTCATACAACCACTGCCTAACCAGCTGAGGAGTACACATTTTTCCCTAGCAACTGGTTGTTACCAAAGGTTGCTGACAGGTCTCTAGGCCTGTGTGCCTGAGACCCTACTCTATTTCTCTGCTACTCTTTTACTTCACCCACCTGGTTGTTAAGT